GGAGGTGCCCCGCGGCGGTGCCGGGGTGGGGGGGCTGGGGGGGCCGCACCCTTTCTGCAGGTCCTCCTCCAGCTGGCCATTGCTTGCAAAGAAAAGTAAGGTTAGAGGTAGGAAAGCGAGCGTTTTGGTTGTGGATAATGTGCATTTTAGCCCTCTCGAAAAAGGCCGTCGTGCTGCTGATGTTGGTTTTCTGTGGAACAGCCTCAATCCCGTCCCTCATCTTTTTCCCTGCCCTGGTCACTTCCCCTCGTAGCTGCTGTGGCTCCTGGTCCTGCATTGTTTAATCACATAGATCCCATCCCACTGATCTTTTAGCTGTCTTTGGATCCCTGGATGCAAGTTTCTCTCAAGATTTCTATCTGTTCACAAACAACTGGAAGTTGTCCGGAGGAGATGTGCCTGTTTGGTCCCCAGTTCGCCTCTCTTTTCCATCAGCATCCTGCCAGATACGCAGTTCTTTTTCGTTTCTCTGTTGTAGTTCAAAGTGTATGTTGCTTCTCAAAGGTCTTTGTGACAAATGATTTGTCTTCATCTGGGGTGTTTCACCAGAGCACTGTAAGACTCACTGCTTCCTTTCTTTGCTGGTTTTAAGTGCTTGATACCTGGGGTTTGCTTTTGTTCACTCTTGTCTTCTGACCTTCATTTTTCTGATGTTGGTGCACATACTATCACAGTGCTTTTCTGTTACTGTTGCTTGGGCTGTGTGCTTAACATCTTTTGAATATATTAGCTTGCCCCAGCCTAGCATTTTAGCCTCAAATTCCTTTGTTGCTCAATTCTGGAAGTCAGTTTTAATTAGCCAATACCAGTACGGCCCGAAGAACCACAGAGTTCACCACACAATCAGCCCCTCAGTGGCCAGCCCAGTGGAACACGTTCATGTTGCATCACCTGTGCCACCGACTCCAAACCCAAGCACTAAATTTGCAGCAGCAAGTTTGTGGAGAGCAGTTCTGAGTACGAACACCAGTGCTAAAGCGAGACGCATCAGTCTCCTCCTGAGAGAGAGCTGGCAGCTGCCCGGGGTGGTACAGCTGAAGACCTTGGATTCAGACAACACTGCATCAAGGCTTCTGGGTTTCCCCACCAGCGCGCTCGGTACTGGTGGAAGCCCCTTGACCTGGCCTGCTCATGATGATTAGCCCCCCCCAGCAGGCTCTGAGGAGCTCCTCAAGCCCTGCATCAGCATCTGTCGGTGCTCTTCGCACCACCAAAGCTCTTTTTCCATCAAGGCTAGTGATTGTCAGCGTTCTGCTGCTGCAGGCGGTGCACTGTCAGACACAGGCGTGGTTCTCTTCCACCAAATTGCCGTGGCACCTGATCCATGGTCCAGCATACTGCCCTCCACCTGTGTGGCCAACCTAGAGTAAGGACTAAAACCCCAACAGGAGGTACATGCAGATCAGTTTAGCCTTGGTCTTGGATTTCATCCCAAATTCCAACTACTGCAAATCACGGTAAGTGATTGGGGTTTTGTATTCCTTCCAAAGTTACTCCTAACATTGACCTGGGCAGTCTTGTGCATTCATACAAATCCTTGCAGGTTAAACTACAGAAAATTAGCTCCTGATCTGCTTTTTCTATAACACTTAGTCTTTTATATACTGCAGTATATATGCAGTGTTTTACTGCACCTGATTCAACCTCTTTCCCAAACTTTTAGTCCTATTCATCTGAGCTTCAATGTCCTTAATCATTATTGTTGTTTTCTCTGAAATAGTCTTTTATTCATATGAGGTGATCAGTACTGGAAGTGATGCTGACCTACCTGATTTGTGTAAACAAATGCATTTAAGATTTGCTTTCATTGAACAACCTGGAGTGAGGGGCAAGACACCTTGTGCAGCTGCAAAGACAGTTCAGGAATGGGATTTTGCTGCTCCATGTGGTCGTGCCGATGCCTGTCAGGCTGCGGCTGTCACGGCTGGGGCAGGACGAAGGGAAAACATTGAGCTGGGCGCCTGCCTTACTTCCTTGGGGCCGGCAGTGGAGGTGGCAGCTGTCCTGCTTCCCCCTGACCCTCTTACTGCATTAGATCTGACATATTCTTGGTAAGTACTGGCTCAGTGTTGGTATCTCAGATGGACACAAGCAAAGGCATCAAGTTCAACAAGTGCAAAAACTGCTGCCAGGAGGATTTGAAGGCGTGAGATCTGTAAAGCTAATGAGAATAATATTTCTTAAATAATTAAATCGTAACTAGTGAAGTAGTTATGCTCTATAATCTTCCAGTTTTATCTTGAGATTTTAACAGCAATTAAGTTATGTGACATTGGGTCATGGTTTTGCAGGCACTAACGCTATCAATAAGGCAAAATTATGAAAGGAAGAAGTGCCTTATATTATTTCCCTAGTGGATAAAACTGCAAAGAGGATTTGGACCAGTAACACGGTTGCATTCTGTTGTGGATGTTAAAATTAACATTTTAAAAAACTTTTCAAGAAAAGCAACCTGCAAGATTAGAAGCCACCCTAGAAGAGATTTTTCAAGCGTTTGAAGAAGCCAGCTTCTTAGGCCCTTGGAAACCACCTACAGTGCCAAGTAGAAGAGTTGGATTGACTGAGCTTTGTTTCTTCTTGTTCAGATGAGCAGAGGCAAGGATTTCAAAATGAGAATGGCACATACTGACTTACAGTGTTTTAGCTGCACTAAGCATGTATCTGAATGCTTTGCGTGGTTGGGAATTTCTACTGTCTTCATTGGGAATTGAATTTTGGGAGTCAAAGTGAATGTTGTTCTGATCCTATTGAGACTGATAACCTATCACTCAGTGAAAATGTTTATTATTTAATGTGTTCCTGTGAATTTGTAATTTGGAGGGTGAAACTGAAAGCCAAACTAAAGCCAAATGGCTACTGATCTCTATGTATGGGATATCCCATTGCTTTCATTTGGAGTTATTTGTCTCAAGACGCCTGAGAATATATGCTGAAAGAGCTGTTTGAAAGCAACATGATTTATTTTTCTGCTCAGGTGCAGAAGCTTAAAGTAAAAACTTTGGGAAAAGGTAAGGATCTTAGGCTATCTTGAATTAGGAAAAAGTGAATGAGTAGAGGCTCTGAAACCAATAATAATAAAAGTGTGTGTCAGCCCTCTGTAACTTTTCCTTGAAGACCCCTGTCATGGTTTAACCCTGGCCGCCAACTCAGTCCTACCCAGCCACTCGCTCACTTCCACCAGGTGGGATGGGGGAGAGAATAGGAAGAGTGAAAGTGAAAAAAACTTGTGGGTTGAGATTAAGACAGTTTAATAGGTTTAATAAAGCAAAAGCTGTGCACATAAGTAAAGCAAAGCAAGGAATTAATTCACTGCTTCCCATGGGCAGGCAGGTGCTCAGCCATCCCCAGGACAGCAGGGCTCCATCACGCGTAACGGTGACTTGGGAAGACAAACACCATCACTCCAAACGTGTGTCGTCCCCCCCCGCCCCTTCCTTCTTCCCCCAGCTTTATGTGCTGAGCATGATGTCCTATGGTCTGGAGTAGCCCTGTGGCCAGTTGGGGTCAGCTGTCCTGGCTGTGCCCCCTCCCAGCTTCTTGTGCCCCTGGCAGAGCAGGGCAAGCTGAAAAGTCCTTGACTGGTGTAAGCCCTGCTCAGCACCAACTAAACCGTCAGTGTGTTATTCACATCATTCTTGTACTAAATCAAAAACACAGCACTATGCCAGCTGCTAGGAAGAAAATTAAGTCTATCCCAGCTGAAACCAGGATACCCTCAAATCTTACGTTCTTTATTTTGTTATTTTTCCTCTATGCTGTGCCTTTGCCACTTTAGTAAAAAAAAGCAAAGTGATTTTCCGTGAGGGAAGTTGAAGCTCTGGTGACACTTAGCC